TGGACGCCTCGATAGACACCCATTGACATACTTATATACATTTGAATGCACATTGGGTGTAGTTTCCAAACTCTCGAATATTTGTCTAAAATTGGTTCCCATTGCCACGATCGGTTCGGTTCGGTTTGATTTGAAAGGCGGGCTAGCCAGATTGGGGGAGCAAAGCGACCATCGTGGCACACATTGATTGCCCGACTCGCAACCTCAAAAACAAACGCGACTGTTTTCAGATCTCGAATCGGGCGATCGGTTGGCGATCGGTTGATCGATCTCCCAATGGGCACTGGGTATAAGAATCCAATTATATATAGGCGGCATACTTATTGTTAAATGATGTTACTTGAGACTTTCACGCCCCCACCCAACTCTTCCTCATTTCTAATTGCACTACCTAACTCCTTTCTCCCGTCGCCTCCTCAGCCCTGATTTGAATCCCCAAAGGGGTGTTCTCGAGGGTTGCTTTAGGGCAGTTTTAAGGCTCTCCACCAATTTGGCATGGTCCTTTCGGAGATGGGCGTTCATTCTAGGGGTCTGCCACTTAAGTAACCTTACAGTGTTGAAAGGGGTGTTGAATCAATACAACACCAACAAGAAGAAGAACAACCATGGCAACAATCAAAACTCTGCCTGACGGGCTATTTAGTTCAGCGTTCAGACCACTTGATTATTCTGCTCTTCGATGACAGCACCCCAAGGAATCGAGTCACCCTCGATATAATTGAGCTCACGCAAAACCACCAAATCAAGAGCCAACGTAACCTCAGAATGACATTTGTGTTATCGTAGTCTCATCTTCTCTTTCTCTCTCTCTCTCTCTCCCTCCCTCCCCCCATCTCCCTCTCTTTCTCTGTCTGTCTGTCAGTCTGTCTGTCTGTCTGTCTGCCAGCCTGCCTGTCTGTCTGTCTGTCTCACCATCCGCCCCCATTATAGTCGCTTCAGGCTGTACGACATGTACTTAACCACGCCTACTGACGACAAAGCCAACAACGTCCGATGACGTGACATTGTTGTACTTGAGGCTGTATGCACAAACAATCGGTCCATGAAGAACACACGAAGCCTTCACACCCCCCCC